GACCAGGAACATGGCATATTGCAGATGATGCATAATCGTGTGAGAAGCTGTGGCACAGTCTTCATCTCACGAGGCTGTCGTGCTGTATGAAACGAGTAGGTCTTGGAGTGGTAGTTGAATGTATAAAGCTCCGAAAAGAGTTTAAATTCCTGAAAAAAAAACTAGCAGGACTTTGTACTCTAGCTATCAGATCAGGATTCAGGAGGACTTATCCTGCAGTCCGTCCCTCCATCTCCAAGAGAGATATCCTCGATTCCTCGATGATTTTGTCACGCATCCCTTGAACTTGTGCTTGTGTTACTTGTGTACGCCAGGCCTGAACTCAGGAAAACTTGTCGTCCACTCCACCGAGTCCACTCCATGAGTCCATGCCTCCATCTGTAAGAGTTACCCTCGCTGCCTCGCAGGCCTGAACTCAGGAAAACTTCTGTTACAAAAAATTTAGGAATGCATTTGTATGGGCCTCGACACACCACTTTCGAAACGAAAAAAGAACGAATGCATCTTCCAAAGAAAGTGGTAAGATGCATCGGTTGCTATTCATAGCAACGGATGCATCTTGCCATTCTCTGCGGGAAGATGCACTCCTACTTTTTTTCGTGTCGTCAGTGGTGTGGCGAGGCCCTGTTTCTCTTCAAGTTTGCTCATTTCCTTACAGTCCTTCTCAAGATTCTTTTCTTCTGCCTCTGCCTCGTTATTTAAATTTCCTAGCGCACGTTAAGCCGACCCAGTTGAAAAACAAGGAAATACAAAAAAAAAGACAAAAAAACGCGGTTGCACCGATGTATACACAGCTTGACACCCTATGCTCCACTCGTAATAAGTACATATAAGTAACATATATAACACAGCCTGTAGGACAGGGTAGTAGGCGATGTGAATTTTGAAATGCTCTGCTCTTAAGTGCAGAACACACCATGTAGGTATACCTATTACCTAGTTAAAAATAGACGTTTTCAAGTAGTCCATTGAAGTTTCTTAAGTGCAGAACACACCATTGAGGTTACTCAGCAACAGTGTGCTGCGACTGCCTTCGAGTACTATGTCACGTCACGACAAAAACTCGACTGATTAGTTACCAAGCGTGCCCCCTGCTTTGGCACGCCAAATAGGAAGAAAAGTGGCAGCCCAGCAGGATTGAGGGGTAGGGAAGGGAGTTACGGGTAGGGTGGAGTGCGCCAGGAGAGGAGTTATCAAATGTGCCCGTTATGGTGAATGGGTATGTCATAAGAAATAATTCTCCTTCAAATGGAGGAGTGGGACACTGGGACTGTCCGACTGTGGGAATGACAGGAATGTAGCACAGGTTTTACATTCCCATCGCACTGATAGCAAAGGTGGGCGCTCACAGTTGAGTGCAGTCAGACGACTCAGAACAGTTCAATGGCGTAGTATGGTAGTAGGGCGTGAGCTCGACCTCGAGCGCACAAGTTGAGGAACGGAAGCAGAGCGGAACAGTTACTGCTCCACAAGTTGAAGAGGGGGTAAGCGGAGGTGAGGTCACTGAGGTGCATGACGTGCATGCCATGACGTGTTTGCATCGTCCAGTCCTGGGGAGGACTGAATCTTTTCTCCCTCACGGGCCTCACCCATAGCGCACAGTCTTACTTGAAGTTACTTCCCTGAGTTCCTCTCTTTCGTCCCGGCCTACCTCTGTAGCTGCTCTTTCTCTGTCTCGCTCTGTCTCTCTCGGTCTTTCTGTGTCTGAGTCGGTCTCTGTCGGGCTGTCTGTCTGGCTGTCTCGCTATCTCGTTGTCTGGCTGTCTGTTTCTGCGCATGTTTTATATGTCCGTTTGCCTGTGTTAGTCTCGCTCCTACTTATCGGACAGTTTGGCCATGGTGGTAAGTGGAGGTGAGGTGGATGGCGTGTTCCAATCCTGGCGAGGACTGGCGTCTTTTCTCCCTCTAGCGACCACCCATACTTCCCTCTCTTCGTCCCGGCCTACCTCTGTATCTGCTCTTTCTCTGTCTCTGTGTCTCTCGGTCTCTCTCTGTCTCTGTCTGTCTGTCTGTCAGTCTTTATGTACATATTTTATATGTCTGGTTGCCTGTGTTAGTCTGCCTTGTACTCTCTCGGAGTCTCTCCTCCCACAGTTAGTTCGCCTTCGGATGCCATCATGTTTGTCTGTCCGGTAGTCCCTTTCTGGCCGCTCACTGCCTCCTGCACTCTTGCCTCCTGTCAAGGTCTTTCCCTCCTCTCCTCACATTCACTTGTCTCCTCATCTTGTGCGTAGCCAACCTCTCTCTCTCTCTCTCTCTCTCTCTCTCTCTCTTTGTGTGTGTACATGTTTTTATATGTCTGTTTGTCTGTGTGTTAGTCTCTCTCCTGACCCTGTCCGCCCACTGTCCCCCCTTCGGATGTCATCAAATTTGAGTGTCTGGTAATCCCTTTCAGGCCCCTCCATGTCTCCTAGACCCTTTGCTTCCTCTCACTGTCTTTCCCGTCGACGGGCCGTCGTCGATCATCACATTCCGGTTTCTCTTCATTTATGCGTAGTCA